GATAATTAGGTTGATAGCTCGTTTAGTTTGGTTCTCGACCGGAAAAGGGTGGCTTGCCACCTCCGGGTCGGGGGAGAGGTCCTACCTCAAGTGGAGGAGTTTAAGTATCTCGGGGTCTTGTTCACGAGTGAGGGTAGGAGGGATCGGGAGATCGACAGGCGGATTGGTTCGGCGTCTGCAGTGATGCGGATGCTGAGCCGATCTGTCGTGGGGAAGAGGGAGCTGAGCCAGAAAGCCAGGCTCTCGATTTACCGGTCGATCTACGTCCCAATCCTCACCTATGGTCATGAGCTTTGGGTAATGACCGAAAGAACGAGATCGCGGATACAAGCGGCCGAAATGAGTTTCCTCCGTAGGGTGGCCGGGCTCAGCCTTAGAGATAGGGTGAGGAGCTCGGACATTCGGGAGGGACTCGGAGTAGAACCGCTGCTCCTCCGGATCGAAAGGAGCCAGTTGAGGTGGTTTGGGCATCTGGTCAGGATGCCTCCTGGACGCCTCCCCGGGGAGGTGTTTCGGGCATGTCCTGCCGGCAGAAGGCCCCCGGGTCGACCCAGGACACGTTGGAGAGGTTACATCTCCAATCTGGTCCGGGAACGCCTTGGGGTCCTGCCGGAGGAGCTGGTGGACAAGGCCGGGGAGAGGACGGCCTGGAGCTCCCTAGTTGGGATGCTGCCCCCGCGACCCGGACCCGGATAAGCGGAGGAAGACGAGAGACGAGAGCTCGTTTAGAGAATCTTTTCATGATATGCTAATTTTTTGAGATAGGAATTTTGGGTTTTCATGAGCTGTATGCCAAAATCATCAATATTGGAAACAATAAAAGGCTTGAACTACGTCAGTTGTGTGGAATGAATCTAACATATATGAAAGTCTAATATTTATCAGTACATTACAGAAAATAATGAACTTTATCACAATATGCAAATTTTTTTAGAAGGACCTGTATACTCTGATAGACCAGTTTCAGAATATCAGGCTTTGGGAAACATCATGGTACTATTAGCTCTGTTTGTCGAAAGTCTTCCTCACAGATTGGGCCCAGGCTGAATGACTACCTACTCTTCACAGACGTCTAGTAGCTGTATGCAGGCAGCTGGCCCAAGGGAACTACTCATAGCCTCCTTCACGAGCTCCTCAGGTGGAATACCAACGTTTGTTTGCTTTCTTTGTTTTTGTTGCGTGAAAATGTCGACAAAAGCCCTGAACATTGTGTGAGATCCATCCATAACTTCAATAAAATCTTCCAATAAAGCATGTTATCGTTGAGACGATGATGTTTCTTTCTGGTATTACTGTTAGTGAGATTTAGTCCTTTTTTATCTAAAAACATTCCCACGAGTAAAACACACACACACTGACAGGAATGAGAGTTTTATTAAGGTAGGCTTCAGCCGTGTGCACAGCACATACAGTCACAATTTATAACCCTTTAGCATTCCAGCATCCCACCCATGGGACATAACAAATTACAGCCATGTGACTCGACTTGATAAGGGGTTTTAATACCTGTATACAACTACAGGATAACATGTAAGACCACAGGACTCAGGTTTATCTCCCTGAATGCAGATTTCCAGGAAACAGATTAAATGACAACAGCAGAGAAACATCATGACGATCAGTCATGTCCAAAAATAAAAACAGGCACACCTGATGCTGGACCACAAAATAGGAGTTCAAGGGAAGATTATAAGATAAAGAAAAAAAAAAACATAACTTTTCTTAGTTAACTGTAACCACTGTGGCCCAATATCAGGTTTCATATTCTTATGTGTGTGTTGACCCTCAGACTCCAGAAGATGAGGGTCCTTCTTCCTTCAGCTAGGTCAAATGTTGAAAATCCTAGGTTTAGGTCAGTGTGCAGCAGCTACGTGTCATCAGCCTATTGGGAACCAACTGTGTTCGTGGCACAATGCTGCTGTGGTTCTGGAGGCGGCTAATGCCATGATTAGACTACAGCGGAATAATCAAATGAGCATTTGGGTAATGAGCCTGGCGCTGGGTCAATGGAGGGAACTAGCCCTACAGCCCCACTGTGAGCCCTATGTAAAGCCATGCAGCTCATGCATGCGACTGTAGTAAGGATGAGTCACCCTGCAGAGGAAATCCCAGACAGCCGGGCTGTAACAGGAGATGCTTCAGGGCCAGCACACAGTAACTTTTGCACTAGCTTTGACAGCTGAACATGTTTGCTGCAGTCAGCCTTTACAGCTTGGGCCATTCTGGGTATCCATGTTGGTTTGCAGGATTCATGGTTTTAAGCAACAAGAAAAACATTTTGCATGGTATTTCTTCAAGCCATTAGCAATTACATAGCTAGCATGTGCAGCCTCCTGATTTTCCAGAGAAACTCCAGTCAGAGAGGAGCTGGTTACTCACCCTCACACACACCCTCACAGGCTGAACTGAAGGACTGTTGGTTGTGGAGGAAGCCTCACTCCCCTCCCTCAAGAGGAATACCGGCATCTTCAGTTACCAAGAGGTTATATTTGGTAAATATATAAAGAAAATATGGGGTTACTTGCTCTAACGTAGAGTTGTCAGTAAATACTTTCTCCTTATTTTCGATTCCTTCAAGATTAAAGGAGTAAGGCATCGGGACATGACCACCAGAGCCAAGCTGTAGTTCCCTACAGAACTCAGAAAGACAATGACAGCCTGGACAGGTAGGGACATCGCAGGCAGTGAGAATGGGACAAACCATTAAATCAATAGAGCAAAAGATGAAAATGTCTTGATGCATTTTCTTTTTACAAAAGATTATGCGATGGCGGTATAAAGGGGGTATGGGGGTGGTCTTTGCACTGCCGCGGACTTCTGTTTATCTTGGACTTAACTTGCTTTTTATTGCGATCGAAGCCGCGCTCATTATAATTTTTAACAAGCTGCTCCTAAAGGTGTCTGTCCCCCACAGTCCCTGTGCAGTCTCTGGTGATCCGACCTCCAGCTGTAACGGAGAGAAGCTCCTGGAGCTCTGCATTGCTCCAGTTTATCATCTCAGCTGGTTCTGTTTACAAACGCTAAATTTACAGCCTGTTTTTCTTTTCATTTTCAATATAGTTGCTGGCCGGAGCTCAGCAGTAACTGCCTATGTGATCATGACACCTCCCTCTGTTGCGCCCAGCTGTAAAATGCATTCACAAGTACGCCGTTGTGGTAATATTCCTACAAAGAATGGCGGTACGAGTGGAAGTAAAATTCCTGCTACGCCATGTCGCTTTCATAAGATTCACCTTGGGGACGGAACTCCTTGATTTTACTGACTACCACCACCTCCACACACACACACACACACACACACACACCCCCTCCACCCGACACCGGCTGACCCCCCCGACACCGGCTGAACCCCCCCCCCCCCCACACACACACACACACCTCCACCCGACACTGGCTGACCCCCCCCCCCCCCCCCCCCCCCCCCCCCCCCCCACACACACACACACACCTCTACCCGACACCGGCTGACACTGTAGCTGAGAGGCATTCAGGCTGTGACGGACCATCAGGGCGACCCTTCCTTCTGATGTCACCACCTAACACCACTCTGGCTCACCACAGGCCAAAGTGCCAGTCAGAGATGCTGGAGTCCAGGTTAAGTTTCTTATGCCTTCTGCATAAATTAAAAGCATTGAGTCCAACCAGTACATTCACACCAGCTGCGGTGCAGTTATGGATGTGAAGCTCCATAGAGTTGCTGAATGGTGTCTATTTTTTTCTGGATGCTGCATTGCAGATTGTCATGAAGTTAAAGAAATTCCATGAGTCAGACAGCGAGGTGCATCCAGTTGATTTCAAAATAAAATGTGCATTATTGTTGCCAGCTGTTGTTTTATTGTTAATGATGGAGATAGCGGTTCACAGTGTTCAGTAGTCAGTGTGAATGGCAGTCACAAGCCAAACGGACCGCCTCGTACCGAATTTGGTGTGAAAGGGTTCCTTATAAAGGAACCTTTTTACTGACCAGCTTAAATGGACTGAACTGTACTGGAATGTTTACTATGTGATGACGACTCTCGTCAAGATTTGGCACTATATAAATAAACTGAATTGAACTCAAATGAGTTTAGATGATTTACTTGCAGGCCCAGTCTTTAGCCAAGTTGGTTGTTACAGACCTTTGACCTTCCTCTAGACTCCAAAATACTAAACTTAAATCTTGTAACAGAGGTTTCCTCTCTCTAATGTTGCCATGTGCATCTAACAGCAGGAGAGGCCAGGGTTCACGCTAGCTGAGCTATAAACAGACACAGAGGAGGGGTTAAGCCCTCCCTCCTTCTCTCTCACTCTCAAAGAAAGATAATATTATTTCCATTAGGCTTGAGCCACATAGAACCCACCTGGTCCATACCAATGGAAACCCTCATTGGTCAACATGTGAGATGGCCTTACTGCTCACCAGAATCCAGCCCTGGCATTCTGGGTCTGGGGGTTTTACCAGGAGTTGTTTAAAGTCCGGGTTGTGTTTCTGACAAGCCGGTGAATATTTATGTTTTGCTCTTTAGACAGAGAAAACCTGCCCCGGGTCCAGCTTGCTTCTGTTGTAATATTCAACCCTGGCTGTGAGTGTACAAGGACGAGTGGAGATGAATCCAAAACTATAGACAGACCCCAGGTTACTGTTGTTGTGGGAAACCCTGATTCAGCAACAGTAATGTCTGATCCACAGGGACACCATGGTTTTGGAGGACACCAGTGGGGTCTAAAACATTAACCTGGTGTTAGATGTAGTTCTAGCGGTGGACTGGGGGGGGGGGGGGGGGGGGGGGGGGGGGGCAGAAGACCCACCGAGGAGCTACAGAGAAAAAAAGTAATAAGTGTCTTACACAAACAGCCAACTGGATCTGTTTAGTAAGTCAGCACTGGGTGAGTTTCTGCAGGAAAACATAAAACCAGATGCATTTAAGACCTTCTACATCCCCGGGCACTCAAGCAACAGTTCCTTATAGTGCAAAGAAACTATCTGCAAATATCTGATCAGTTAGAAAATGAATACGTGCACAG